ATCCTCATCACACTGTTTATGGCCAGTACTTTCACACTCAAACTGGGAATCAATAGTAATTTGTCAGTTTAACTTTAATCATTTCACAAATTCAATCAGGTAATGCATTGCACTATAAGGGAATTCGAATAAAATCAGTTTCTCTTCCCACTCAAGACGCAATTGTAGATAGTGGTTTACATGCATTTTTATAGGTTAAATAATATGAGAAGGATGCATGAAAGGAGCTACAGCTTTATAAACTGTAAATGCTGAGTTTGTGACCGTAATTCTATCATTCACAAATATAGGCATTCTAGAACATTCTCCAGTCAAAACTTAAATATAATACCATCAGTAACATTTTCATAGTTCTTTTTTTGGGTCTAGAACAAGAAATACTTGAAGGGAAAACATATGTGAATTAAATGAACATAATTATAAAATTGCTCGTTTTCACAAATTTGCAACTTGACATTAAAAAAACCCTAAAATTAACAATGCTGCAAGAAGATCAATAAATATGACAGATAGGCAGAATACCCAGAGAGATGCAGGCTCCAACAACTATATTAACGTATGCCTTAATAAGAGCTTCTGGGTCAAAGTCATCATTATCGTTTGCCGCATCGCCAACTTTAAAAATCCCAACCTTCACAAATTCTGGAATTTGAGATTCAACCCACTCTCTAGATGGACATACCCTACATGTTACAGATAGTTTACATCAAGTACCATCATTTCTCAAATGAAAGAACGTTGAACCATTTGCTTGGCAGTAGTAAGTGAGGTCACCTGTTCCACATAATCAAATTCCGGGCAATGATACGAAGCATGATAAAGTCCGGCCTCACATATTGTAAATCAAAATGGGTGAGAGGAATATAAATTCTAGATGATGTTACTTCTGATTCGGTCTGCATTTTAAGAAGAAAAAATAAATTAGCCTAATATGTAACTAAGAGAAAAATTAATATCATATTTGTTCCCGAAGAATAATCACCTTCAAAAATATTAGAGCTAGTGCAATTGTTGCTCCAGGTGCAGTTACATCTACATTGATCTGTGTTCCATCCATCATCTGAAGAAGCAGGACCATGACAAAACGAAGCATAGCCACACCACCAATCAGATATTGCAAAGTGGCAGTCAATCAAGGCCAACCAGAAGAAATATGAAAAGAACAGATGGAAAATGAAGAACCTGCCCCATATTTCGGTTGTGATCATTCATCGACCGTCCTATGTGCAAGGATCTCTCCTGGAAAAGACCAAAATGAAGAAGGTACATATAAGTTTCCATCAGGGGGCAATAAGAAGGTTAAGCTATATGACATGCTTGGTCCAAAACAACATCAGATGATACTCTCCTGGTCGAAATAAGTCACCAGTGAAGTGAAATATTAGAATCCTTACAAGTTACAACAGTGCATATAAGCAAAAGGTTTAGGATAAATACATGGTAAACTTCTTTGCCACCAGCATATTGGAAAAGCCGATCCACAAAATTTTCCATGGAACCAAATGCGTCCTTGCCTCGGCCTTCACAGAAACATTTCACATACACTGTATGATAAATATAAGGTAACTTTAAAAACATTTCTTATTTTCATCACGTGTAATGCACCTAATGCAACAAGTCCCAAAGCACATCCTGCAGCAACAGCATAGCCTTCCCTTTCAAGTACATTATCTCCAGTACTTCTGCGGCCAATCTCACGCTACAAGACATTTAAGAAAATAGTTATAGAACATTAATTGTAGATTAATTTAATTAAAATCAAAAGCTTAACGAGATACATCTCAAAATTTATTCACTGTCTCAATGATCTTGGTGTAGGAGCCTTTGTGTGAAAAAGGCTTGGTCATACTAAGCCTCACAGGTGATTGCATTTCATATTAGAAAATCAATCAAACTTTCTCCCTTCAACCTTAATTCTTTCGTGCAAAATAGTTTTGGAGGGTCTTTTTTCGATTGCATGAGCATGAACAGCAACCCCATAACATAGGCTATGATATCCCTCAACAGGCCTTTATAAGAGATATAAAGCCTGCACCTCCCTTGCCCAAAGTAACACCAAGGAATTTGTTATCAACATGATGTGATGTCAGGTTGACAGAATTAAACTTAAACAACATATCATGGAGCAATGTGTTACATAGCTGACCCCAATTTAACAGGAAAAGGTTATGCGTGTAGTGAGACAAGTGTGTACATGTGTGCACAGGTAAGTCTTAATTTCTCCTAGTAATAAAATTAATTCCATGCATGATCTGCAGGGCTGCTAGTGCACATGCATGTGTGCTTGTGTACATAAAAAGTAAGTCAGCGGGAATCATTCGATAGTCACAGTTGCCCAATGCTTGGATATGCCTTGAAACCAGCAATAGTTCTGAAAGTGAAAGCAATGAAGATCCTTAAATTAACTAAACCCATGGTGTTGTCTAGTTAATATTTCCTGTGTCCCACATTTGAAACTTAAAATTTTCCTCCAAATAGGATTCATTTGCTAAATTAGGTGTACGACTTGAACAAAATTCATCAAAATAAACTATAATGTGCTAGTCCAAGATATAGAAAGGGTATTATTCCAGAAATCATCAGGAAATCCTTCTCTTAGACTACTTAGAACTGAGAACTATGTTAGATCATTATGTTACAACTCTAGACCGACTAAAGGTTAATCACCGAATAGGTGAGGTCGTTCAACTAACTGAATGATGGAGAATGACTATTTAACTTACTAGTTTATCTCTAAGTAAATAAATATAAGCTTGATGCGCCTCTTAAAGGAAAAGATGCAACTAATAAAATATCCAACCAAGGCAAACAGATAAAAAGTGCACTTAAGGTAACAAGAAAGATGTTAAGGGATTACGAGAAGAGAATATTTTACCAAAAGAATCTTCATAGTTAATGGATGTGCTGATCCTTCATAAAGAAGCCCAATAGCCATTAGTGCAGTGGACTGAAATGGCAAGTGTGAACAGTCATTAAATCATCAATTGAACTCCTACAAATGCCTTTGATTCAAATTTGGTACATCAGAACAAAACCAAAATCCTAGATGATGCACACTTAACCGACATAAAAACAACAAAATTGAACTTGATCAGATTACTAGTCTAAATAAAAGCATCCATCTTAGAACGAATCTGTTCATTAGAACTTCAAATTTTACTTTTCTTTTCATAAACCATCCACCCAAAAAGAAAGGAAGTAACAAGGAATAAAAAAGAATGACCTAATATTCTCTAAATGTTTAGCATATACTAACAGGTTCAACCATAATGAAGCAACGGTATATATCATAAGTTGGTGCAGTTGTTTACATTTTCCAGAGGATTCTCTTGCACAGCTAATCAATGGAACTGAATAGTAGCAGAGTGAAACCCAGTATACCTAGTCCCTTGCATCCCTAACACAAAACCTAAACTTGAATAACATAATGAAACAAACCAATCAACCTTGTATAACATAGACTGAGCAAAACGCAGTCTATAATATAGAAACAGCTAACAGTTAGCATTTTATTTCACTGAATCATTTCATAAAGCTTAAAAAACAGCAGTTTTCCTTTGTCATCATAAACAGTTTTTCAAGTCTGTAACAGCAGCAAATAGTCTATAGTCTGTCTAACTTTCCATTTGTTTTCTAAAACAAAATTAGAAAGATGTCAAGATAATACTAGTAAGATTTCACTAAACATCTATCTTGAGAAAATCAACACTTAAAGTCAGAAGCTATATGACAGAAACAACGTGCTATGAAATGCTTTCAGTCATGGAGAATGTGATACCTGTAAAAGTGTTGGTAACTCCAGTTCTGGAAAGGACGTGGGATGTCCATAAGGAATATGAAGGTACAGCATCTAAAAGCAAAGAAACAACCGCCGTAAACATGCCATCATATAAAAAGGTAAGCACAATTTGAAAAGGAAAAGGAAAATAAGTTAAATAACTATACCAAACATCATAACAATCAAGGCTGCACATGCAGAATATACTTAACATTCTAACTTCTCCACAATGTGAAATGCAGATTTTTCACATAGAAAATCCATTATCTTCCCCTTCAAATTTTCCCCCAGCAGAAGAGACCAATTTCGATTATGACCCATTGGTTTGAATGAACTTAACCTGCATAACCAATACGGTGGATCTTCCTACCCTGCAACTGGTCTCCTTGGCTTTATGACAGGTCTTTCTCATAGATATATTTCTTATCTGGAATTTAACTCCAAAATGGTTGACATTTGTTGACAACTAGTTGTGAGGTTATGTCAAAGTCTTTTCTATATAACCTTTTCAAAGTAGAGTTTCTTCTGAAGGCAATGACATTATAGTGAAAGGTATGCTTTCTGTATCTAAGTACAAATGCATGTATTTATATGGTGGGTTCATGCTCCGCCACATTAGGATGTTAAATTTCCCTTCATGCCCTAAATATTTGCCTTCCCTCCATCCCTCCATCATAACAGCCTCTGACTAATATGTCTGCAATCACATGATATGAAAAGAAGTAATTGAAGAAAAGTCCAAGTCTGGCCCATTAACCAATCATACAAGTCTGACCCAAATCCAATAGAATGCCAGATGAAGCTATTAGACCCTCTTTCAATTATAAATCAAACTAAGGTTGTCACTCATAACCTTATGATTGCATTTGTATGAGGAAGTAACACAGTGACAAAGAAAAAGGCTTCATAGACAGTTGATCATTACCTTTGACACTGCTGGATCCATTGTTCCTCTATGAGATGCTGCCATCCCAAGCAATAATGCAACTGTAGTAGTATCATGTTCCTAGTCACAAGCAAATAGAAAATAAGAAACGCAAAGTGAAATAGTTTGAATGAGAGTGTAAAAATAGTCATGAAGCCATATCCCAGACTGAGGAACATATGAAAAGGAAATTAAAATATAAAAGAATAAAAGGGAAAAAAAGCATCTTCAAATCCTTAAAGGTGTGAATCACAATTATGTATGCAACAGAATAAAGAAGGAAAAATATATTGCATGACCAACTGCATGCGTGCATACGCAGTTATACTAATACGACAAGTACACATACAAGTTACTCAAGGCAGTCATACCAACAAAATATCTTAGACAAGAGGACAATAGAAGAAAGAACAGGTAAACTGGAAAATAGGGTTAACCAAGCAACAATGGTCCGATAAACAAGAAATTGAAAGACACAGAATAAATGAATACAAGATTTGCTTGGTTGGCCTTGAAATGGCCAACATCCATTGGTAAAGAAGTGAGAGTGCAACTTGATTCTGACAACCTCAAAGAGTGACAACAAAACACCACTTAACTAAAGCTCCCAAAGAAGACCTTACAATCACTAGAACTAACCCAAATTAAAAATGACTTTTTATCTCAACAAGTACACTGGAAAAGTAAAACCAGCTTGCAATTACCATAATGCTCACAGGAAAAAAGATATGGGATGGTATACAGCACAGGATTCTGGACATTGCAACTAGATTGCATATTAAAAAGACTAAACTCAGTTAATTGAAATTTCAAAGTCAAGAAAATTCTTCGAAGTACTTCATACATAACAATAGATAGATGTCATGCATAATACTTCATAAATCATAATACATGCACATATCTCAACACAGAGAATCAGCTAATATCAGCTACTACATAGGATATATTATCATTATCGCGATTTGTACTTATACCATTGGAACAAAAAGCAAGGAAGAAGAAAAGGAGATTCCATGAGAAGAAAAAAAATCTTTGAGTTATTGCCAAGACAATGTCCAGTTGTCCACTGACCACTAGCTAAAACGGTACAGTACTACTATAAAATCAAACTAAGAATAAAATGGCGATTATCATACACAGCATGTTGGCAGAAAAGAAAACTCATATTGGTGATGTAGTGCAGGCTAGTGTAATAAAAAACCATTGCCTTCAAGATTTTCATGAACTAATGACATATTTAGCAGAGATGAAATTTGACACATTTGCAGCATATGCAATTACATTCAATTTAAAAGGCATAATACCAAACTCCCAAAATGTAAATCTCCATGTCCATATTTTTCCGAAATGTAGCGGAAGTTTTCTCCATAGACGACTCCTTACGAAACTACCAGAAAAGCAGGTCCAGAAGCACACTGTGGTGTGGACCATTTCAAATGATAAAAGATCCCATTCACTGTGATATCCATGCCATAAAATTACTAGCGTATAAAAATAATTTTGATTCAAGTTGTTGATTCAGTAGCTAAAACTAAGTAACTATGGTTTTACAGATCACAAGCATAAGCGAGCCGTTTTTAACAGTTTTCTTTAAGCTTTGTGAGTCGTGTGATTTCTCAACTCAAATCATAATTGTGATAGCTTTCATAACTTTTTGATACGAGTCGTCGTACGAGCACCTTTGATCGTGGAATTATCAAAGGTGGTTGAGAAGAAAATAACAAAAACACAAGGACAATTCAGTGGTGACGAAGAAAAATACCTTCTCTAGATCATGAGAATTAAATAGTTTACAATCTCTCACAATCTTACTAGAATTGAAGAACAATCTCTCTCAATTCTCAAAATACAATCTAATCTCTCTTGATTGTTTTAAAACCCTAAAACAATCTCTTATATATGTGTAACAACGTGGATGGCAAAGTGGTAAATAACAAAACCCAAACCTCACAGGAATTCGTGCAAACAGAAACTCAAACGAACTAGAAAACCATCGATGGGTCGACTCATGTGCATATATGAGTCGACTCATGACACATGGGTCGACTGGTCAAAAACTTCTGACAAAACGGATGAGTTTCGTGAGTCGACTCATGACAAGCATGAGTCGACTGGTCAGAAACTTCTGACAAAACAGCTGGGTTTCGTGAGTCGACTCATGACAAGCATAAGTCGACTGGTCAGAAACTTCTGATAAAAACGACTGGGTTTCGTGAGTCGACTCATGACAGGCATGAGTCCCTGTCATGAGTCGACTCATATGCATGTATGAGTCGACTCACGAGCTGAAAACTGGATGCTTCGATTCTTTGATTCGCCGTCTCGTTCCACGCTTCGACCTGCGTTCCACTGTGTTGTTTTACACTTCTATTCTCAAGTTACCATGAGAATCGTCTATCCTCAAGCTTCCTTTAGGAACTTGAAGTCCCGTTCAAGTTAGAACTTCAGCTGAGAAAACTCGCGAGCTCCTCCTTCCCTGTTGAACCACTTAGCATTGCTAGGAACCTGACCTTAACGTCCAATGAGAAATGACTCCTTCGTCCCCCGCCTCGTAACGGTCGTCTTCCGTTCTAAAATGCAATCTTACTTCAGCGGCTCTTCTCTATCAAACCACAAGTCTTCAACATGCGGCAAGATCACATTGTCGTCACTTTCATCATCCAGCAATAGAGGCTCAAACAACTTCAAATACTCGGTATTGATCACCAAATACATGTCTAAGTAAGGTGGCAAATCCAGCCTGAAGGCGTTGTCACCAATCTGATCGAGAATCCAAAACGGACCATATCGTATAGGTTTCAACTTCTTCCCTTCTCCCTTTAGCCTCTCCTTACTCAATTTCAGCCATACCATGTCGCCTATGCCAAAATTATAAGGAACCCGATGCCGATCATGCTTCGCCTTGTACTTGACTTGTGATTTCTTCAATTGAGCTTCAACCGTGACATGAAAATGCACAATCTTCTCCAGAAATCGCTGAGCATGTTGTCTCTCACTTCCTTCCTTGTCGTCGGTCGTAGCTTCACTGAAAAACACGAGATCAAATGGACTTGGAGGTAAAAACCCATAACAAGTCTCAAACGATGACTTTCCCGAAGATCCATGAATAACCTGATTAAATGCAAACTGAAGATATGATAAGCTCTCATCCCAAGTCTTGAGATGCTTGGAATTGTATCCTCTCAACATATGTATCATAGTCCGATTAACTACCTTTGTTTGTCCGTTGGTTTGTGGATGAAAGGTCGTGCTCTTCTTTAACCTAGTGTCCATCAAGCTCCACAAAAAATCCCAAAAGTATCCGAGAAACCGGCTATCTCAATCTGAAATAATCGAATTTGGCAACCCAAAATGCTTTCACACATGCTCAAAGAACAATTGCGTCGCACCCGCTCCCGTCACGGTCTTCTTACAAGGAATAAAGATGACAATCTTGTTGAACCGATCCACCACAACGAACAAATAATCATTCACGTGCTTAGTCGTCGGCAATCCTCCTAAGAAATCCATAGAAATACTCTCCCACGGTCTCGACGGTACCGGTAATGGTAGATACAATCCCCTTTTCTTACTAGAAGACTTCGATATGCAACATAGCTTACACCCTCCAAGATACTTAGTGACATCCTCTCGGCCAAAAGACATGGCGTCGTAGATTGAGAAGCGTCTTCTGAATCCAAAATGACCTTACACACGTGATGTATGGGCTTCTCGAATCCACTGCAATTGGTCGTCATCCTTCGGAATGCATAGCGACGTCTCGTGATACAACAAACCATCTGCACCAATCTCATACTCCCCCTTTTGATCAGCCTTCGCCTGCTCGAACACACTGCTAAAATCTCGGCTGGATGTGTATATCTGTACATACTCCAAAGGAACCAAAGGCTGAATGCGTGTCGCCACCAAGAGAGCTCTCACGGGTGGGCGAGATAACATATCGGCTAACTTGTTCGTCGTCCCCTTCTTGTACCTAATGATGATATTGAACGCCATCAAAGAGGACATCCATTTCATGTGCCGTACCTGCTGTAGCTTTGTCTGGGCATGTAAAAATTCTAATGGCTTGTGATCTGAGTGCACAACCACCTCCTTTCCCAATAAATACACCCGTCAATGCTTGATTGCTTGATAAAGTACATAAAACTCCTTATCGTAGGTGGAGTAGTCCTGAATAGCACCCATAAATATTTCTGAATGACACTCCACCGGCTTCCCATCCTTAATCAACACAGCGCCCATAACATAACTAGAAGCGTCGATCTTTACCTCTAAAGTCCTCTGTAAATTCGGCAATGCTAATACCGGTGCCTCTGAGATCTTCCTCTTTAATAACTGAAAAGCTTTCTCATGCGTCCTCCCCCACTCAAACTGAACATTCGCCTTCGTAAGGCTATGTAAAGGTGCCGCATAAGTCGAGAAATGTCGAATGAACTTACGCAAATACTGGTAAGTCCCCGTGAAGCTTCTCACCTCCATCACTGTCCTAGGTGTCGGCCACCTCGTGATCACCGCCATCTTGCCTGGATCCATCCTCCGTTGGTCTTTCCCCACGATGAACGCGAGATACACCAACTCGTTCTTCCCGAATTCGCACTTCTTTCCGTTAAACTTTAGCTGTCCGTTTTGCAGCACTTCAAACACCTTCTCGACATGAACAAGATGCTCCTCTCAGGTCCTGCTGTACACCAAGATATCATCGAGGTAAACTATCACAAAATCCTCTATAAAAGGTCGTAACAAATTGTTCATAAGTCTCATAAAGGTAGCTGGAGCGTTGCACAATCCAAACGACATCACCAACCACTCGAACAGACCATGCTTGGTCTTGAACGCAGTCTTCCAAGTGTCATCCTCTTGAATCCTCACCTGATGGTAACCAGACTTCAAATCCAGCTTCGTGAAAAACCTCGTTCCTTCCAACTGGTCCATAAGATCATCAATCTGAGGTAATGGGTATCGATTTTTGATGGTTATCTTGTAGAGCACCCGGTAATCCACGCACATGCGTCAGCCTCCATCCTTTTTGGGCACCAACGGATGACCCGCAAGGAGAACTCGGTACAATCACTCGTCTCCAAAAGCCCATGAACCTGCCTCTTGATCTCCTCAGACTCCTCTACAGATGTGCGGCATAGACCTATATTCGACAAAGAATCCTCGCCAGTCAACATAATCTCATGCTCTACACCCCGTCGTGGTAGTAGTCTTGTGATCTTCGAAAACAAGTACGTACTTGGCCTTTAACCTGTCTAGCTCTTCCTCCTGAAACTTGCTCAAGGTAGTCAAGCACACCCTACTCAGCTGCTCATAAGGTCTAATTACTAACAATATAAACCTCTTGCTCGCTTTCACTAGCCTCTTCGCCTGAGTCACTGTCACCAAACTCGTCTCCTGTGAAAGAGATGCCGAACGAAAGATGAATTGCTCACCCTCTTTGGTGAACGTATACTTCTGGGCTCGCCTATCGTAGACCGTAAATATATCCCATAAATAAAGATTGTCCAAATGTGGAACAGTTTTGACAATCTCGGCCTCCCTATCAGAATCAGATTCCTCGCCTTCTCCATCGGACTCCATAAGTTTCTTCTTACCTTTCGAAGAAGATTCCTCTTTTTTGTCCTTTTCTTGGAAGATAATGACGAGTTGTGTGAGAGTCGAACTCATTGTCTCCATCTGTTTCTCCAATACATCTAGCCTCGCTGAACTACCTCCTTCAGTCATCTTCTTCTTTCTTAATTTCTGAACCCCTTCCAATGAAATAAGGATCTCGTCTAACTTTTTATATTGCGATCGAGTCAGGACCATATACAGGATATCTTTTGATCAGGATCTGATCGCTCTGAAACCAATTTGATACGAGTCATCGTGCGAGCACCTTTGATCGCGGAATTATCAAAGGTGGTTGAGAAGAAAATAATAAGAACACAAGGACAATTCAGTGGTAGCGAAGGAAAATACCTTCTCTAGATTATGAGAATTAAATAGTTTACAATCTCTCACAATCTCACTAGAATTGAAGAACAATCTCTCAATTCTCAAAATACAATCTAATCTCTCTTGATTGTTTTAAAACCCTAAAATAATCCCTTATATATGTGTAACAACGTGGATGACAAAGTGGTAAATAACCAAGCTCAAACCCCACAAGAATTCGTGCAAACAGAAATCCAAACGAACCAGGAAACCATCGATGAGTCGACTCATGTGCATATATGAGTCGACTCATGACACATGGGTCGACTCATGACAGTCATGAGTCGACTGGTCAGAAACTTCTGACAAAAAGATTAGGTTTCGTGAGTCGACTCATGACAGGCATGAGTCGACTGGTCAGAAACTTCTGACAAAACGACTGGGTTTCGTGAGTTGACTCATGACAGGCATGAGTCGACTCAACCTGATGAGTCGACTCATGTGCATGTATGAGTCGACTCACGGGCTGAAAAATGGATGTTTCGATTCTTTGATTCGTCGTCTCGTTCCACGCTTCGACCTGCGTTCCACTGTGTTATTTTACACCTCTATTCTCAAGTTACCATGAGAATCATCTATCCTCAAGTTCCCATGAGTATCGCTAAGTTTCGAAGAGGAGATACACCCGTATCACTTTTATGTTTGTAGAAGTGGATATTTCGGGTCCTCGTAGCTAGAGAGCTTGTGTTTGTCCACTAACTGACTTGTGCATGCAATATGGATAATGAATCATGCTCCCATGTTTGTTTATAGTGAACATGTTGATAGACCGATTATGCATGATATTTCAGTTATCCGCATATATACCACTGGCACTAGTGGAAAATATCTCCAATGACGTTAGTTGCTGGCAGTATCATGATATACAGTGCCTTTGCATGGTCTTAAGACAATTATAGCTTAAAGAACGCTGTGTTGTGTCTAAAGTCCTTCCTCACATGTATGTGCAGTAAAGACTTATCCATCCAAATGTAACATTCAGCAAAATGGCATATGATGAATCTCTCATTGAAAAATGGCATACGATGAAAGCGTGCATGGAAGGGCCCATTTTCTTTTATGCAATTGGGAAGTATATTTCCAATCATGACAATAGGTACAGATACTTATTAGTTCAAATAGTAAGAGCATAAGCATGTATTACTATAAGAGAAAAGAAGAATATAAATATACCTGGGAGAGGTAACGGTACACATCAGTAATTGAAAGAACAGACAAATGTTCATGCAAACCTAATGCCAGTAGTAGTCCCGCATGGGTAAAATTTGGTTCTGCTGGATCATTATATATTATCCATGTCCTTGACATTTTCTCCTAAATTAAAAAATGGAGATTAGTTAGAATTGGAGGTTACCACAAAAGAATGCTAAATGTACGAGGTCCTACATGATAAGGTAAATGCACAAGCTTAAATACATAACTACCAGTGCTTATGGTATTTGTCCATGTGTGTGGGTTTTTTTTTTTTTTGTGGGGGGGGGGGTTGGGGGGGTTGGGGGGGTTGGGGGTGTTAAACTAGTAAACATATACATTTAAATCAAATATAGATAAGAAAGATAGATTCAACCTGAAAGGGCGCGAGCCTCAAACCAGCAGCTACACCATTGTGGAATTCTGGCCAGGATCTCAGTTCTGAAATATTTCGTACATTTGGATCCAAATTAACCTAGATGGGTCATTGTCACAAAAAGTTTCTGAAACATTTCCATAGCAAATGTGATAAAGTCACAAAAAAATAAGTCAAGATAGAGAAGTATTTGCATATTAGTCAGTAAGAAACTCCTACGGTAATACAAAGAAAACATCACAGTTGCACATAGATGAAAGCACGATAAGTAAACTACAGACCGATGGCATGTTAAAGGTACTTAGATTAAAAGGATTAAGTGACTTTTCTTTTTTTGTAGGGATTGATAGTGGTTGAAATCATATCTACTTCAGATGTCAAAGCTTCCAATCCTTCATTATTCCAACTTTCCGATCTCTCCGACAGAATAATACAACTCCTCCTTGACATGTCCTTGGGGATTCAACCTCAGCTGCTGAAGCCCTAACCCTTTGCCAGTACTCAAATTCCTTCCCTTTCCCTTCCATGCAGGCTTCCTCCTATCTCCGAATTTGATCGCAACATAAATCATCTTTCTTGGCCTTCTTATTCATGGCTGTTGAAGCGCATGGAGGCAACTCAGAACTCACATCCTTCCCCTAAGCCAAAAATGATTGCAAGTGCTTCTTCCCTCTCTTACCCTCCCTCCCTTCCTCTTTCTTCTCTCCTTGCAAATTGCTGTCTTCATCGTCCAATTATTCATTAACAGCTGACCCCCAATATATACACTGCCTTTCTCAGAAGAATGTGAGAAGAGAGAGCTAATGTTAGAATTCTCTAATTGCAATAGGTGGGATGCAAGGGTCTCTACGTATATAACTCAATTTTGCAAGGAGTATTGCACAAACTTCATATCCCATGTTTCCCAAGGAAAAGTATTAATTTAAAACTTATTGGAGGGCATTAGAAAATGTAAAGCTAGTCAGAGATAGTTTTTTCCGCAACTTGTGCTAATTCATGGTGGAGATATTTTTTCCACTAGTGATAAATCATGGTAGTCATTTTATATTTAGCCTCAAAAACTACAAAGTAGATCTCCAGATAATCACCATCACAGAAACAGAATATTAATTTTAAGTAATATCCTCAAAAAAAAGTGGAAAATATCATGATAAAAATAATAGAAGGATATGGTGGAGAATAAAGGAAGTATATATTGGGAGAAATAGCAAGGAAAACAAATAGGGGTGGAAAACGAACGAATCGAGTCGAATATTGAGATGTTCACATTTGTATTTGTTCGAATTCGAACCCGAATTCAAATATTCATGTCTGCAATTTTTCGAATTCGAACTCGAGTACTCAGTACTTGGTAAATATTGACGAATATTCATGAATAATTATCGAATGTCAAAGTATATTCATTCTGTTAACGAATTTAAATTTTAAATAGTATTTAAATTTATAAATAAAAATTAATTCTTTATAGTTATGATGTATATATGTTTAATTCGAATATTTCATTAGAAAACTGATTTAAGATTATTTAAGTTTCTCAAAGTATATAGAACTTAAGTAGAAAATATAAATAGGTTGAAAAAATAAAATCATATGTGTAATGATACAAATTAAAAACGATCAAATTAAACGAATATTTGATAAGTAAACGAATCGAATATACCCCTAGTTAAATTCTATTCGTTAATGAACTCGAATACTAAATATTATTTGTTTAGTGTTAAATGAACTACCGGATCGAATATAACCGAATAGTTAGTCGAATAATTAACGGACTATTTGTTAATTATTTGGTTCGTTGCCACCCCTAAAAACAAATTACACAATGGTAAAAGCCTAAGAATCATTTTTGCATGTGAGAACAAATAATTTACCATTGCATTCTTTTGCGCAGGGAGTCTTCCTGCCAAAACAAGATTCGGGATAACAAGTGCCTGCAAAAATATATAGAATAATACATGATGAAATCAGCATAATGATGTACAAAATACATATTCCTGAATATGAACTATAGATGAAAATATCTAATGCCCATAAATGGAAAACTAAAATCTTGGAAGCTTCCTGTATAACTATGTTTTCATTCAGCGCTTACAACATGATAACTTTCAACATGGTTTTCTTCTTGGGAGGTCAGCCATGGAAAGTATATACTTACTAAGATTATTGTTCGTAAGATAAAGGAAGAAGGCAATAAATGTATATATGTTTTATTAGTTTATGATAATCTTCTATAATGCCTCTAAAGAGATAATATGGTGAATTTTAGGAAAGAAAACATGTGACCTTATGCATGTTAATGTAATTAAGGATATGTATGATGATCGAGCAATCTTTACAATGACAAAAACTAGAGATGAGTGAGATAAAGTATCACCATAGCCAACACAGAGGATCGTTTTTAAGTCTACTCAAACATGGATGAACACACGAATCATATCAAAGTGGACAGAAACTTTAGAGTCTAAACAATTTAAAATCAACACGATGAAAAAGGAATCCATGGGGTGCAAGTTAAGCAACACTATAAAAATAAATGAAATATTTGACATTGACAGTCAAGAAAATTTTCTAAAGAATGATAATTGCGCTTTTCAAGATCAACAGCTCATTATTGTAGCATGAAAAGTTAAACTGCTTCAGAGTATCATACAATCATAGATTACAGAGAAATTGAAGGGAAATTGTTAATAAGCCAGCAATACTAGACATTAGGCAATTAAAAACATGTCCAGAAAATGAGTTAAGACGAAAAAAATATCAAGATGGACGAGAGGTAATAGACTACAAAATAGAACACGAAAGGAGTTACTTCAGATGGACATTAAAGGTAGCTTTGATTAGGTAAAGCATGGAAACACTGGTTTAAGGTGGTTTCTGCAAGTGCAATACAAAAAAGTAACTAACTGAACAAGGAGGACAAACAGTGCAAATGAATGGACATGGATCAGGAAACAAAAAGTATATACCAGTTGTTAATTTGAGATTGAGGAGGTATTACTCAGAGAATTAAAGTGTGATGATTCCATCGAAACGTTCTTCTGGTGTTTTCTTATCATACACTACCAATAGAGTTGAAGGAGAATAATTTGATTCAGGAACGAGACAAACTATACTTCATAATTATGATACAGAAAGTTGGTGAACTTAGAATCAGGAATGCAACAAACTATACTTCATAATTATGATACAGAAAGTTGGTAAATTTAGAATCAGTATGTCTGGAATGACTAGCAGAAATGAGAATATTCAGAAGATAGGGGAAATGCTAAAAGAAAATGATAAGAGCACTTGATGCCTAACTGAAGAAGTAAAGGTTCAAAGGTGCGTTAGAAAAGTCCCAGGTTGAAAGCCCTTTCCCAGATGCGATCTAAGTCCAGGAAATGGCCTTTGTTCTTGTACATGAAACTGATAAGAAATGAGTATATCCACAAAAGTTAAGGGGCGGCACCAACGAGACAAAACGAGGCAGAACAGCTTGAGGGGGTTTATACATGTGCAACAAAGATAAGGAGGTTAAAAGTAACAATAATCAAAAGTGAAGGAAATAAGACTATGGCTAGACATCAGTGGACATCGATCGTAACTTTAAAAGGATTTATTGTGAAACAGAGTGGCCCTTAGCAGAAATGAATGGAGAAAAAAGATCTAGACAGCTGACTTAAAAGATTTCTGACATAGAGTTGGATGTTGTTGTGGTTGTTATTGTTGTGGACAAACATCTAAGAGAACGTATTAGGTTACATTTATGGTAAAAAAAATTGTTTTCTACCATAAGAATAATCAAAGTACCAGTAAAATGTTCCCTCTTCTCATATTCATATATGAGTTCCATGAAAGACGAAAGAAAATGTACATTTGAATGTGAATAAATTATAAAGAGAAGCTTCGAATTTCAGCACTTATGCAAATGTTTGCTTAGTCATGCAAGCCTACTTATGCATGTCAGAAGGCTTTAAACTGTAACTTGGATGTGAAGACAATGCAAGGAAAAAATTCAAATTCCAGCAACATTTATCCACAGCTTTTTTTCGAAGTGAAGTAAATTTTGCATGCCTCAGTCAAAAGTGTATATGTCGTAGCTAAGGTAAATGCTCCTCGGCCAAAAGGAAGAGCAGTAGTTCTCTGAGCAAGATTCCACAGTTGATGCTGCATCAAAGAGGGAGAGAAAAGCATCAGAAATGTCTCCTTGATCATGTAAAGCTTGAGCATTACAAAATTTTGATTGACTTCTATAGCATAGCCAAGTAAGCATAAGCCAAAAAATTAACACAAAGCTGGGCGCTAAGCAATAAACATAATCTGTTGACCACCTTAATGTTTCCTGCTAACAAAACTACTAGTACTCCCATCACAGAGTTACCAAATCCAGTAAAGATGTTTCATAATGGGAAATGTATTAGGGAGTTTGGGCACCCACCAAGAATACACATCCATACAGTTTCAGGCACAAGACTGTTAATGGAAGTTGGGAGTTGAAAGAAACAAGAACAGATAATTTGCACAATTCAGAAGATGCCTCAGAACAAGTTTGGGCCAGAATTATTTGAACATAATGGAAACGAAATCCAATAATGGAATTCAAGAAAGAAGTCATGAAGACTATCGTAGATTAGCTGTGAGATTATCAAAGTAATATTGTAAAAAATATGTAGAATGATACTTGTTACAAGTAATTTCCCTTGAAGGTGCATCTCCAAATCAGATGTTCGAAAGAAACAATTTATTGTCGCCATCAAAAAAGTTAGAAACTGTCCAAGAACTTACTAAACGCATAAGATATCAGACGTTGCATTCAAGAAAGAGAAAACTACTTAAAACCCTACACAAACACGGAAACATTTCAACAAGGTAACCAAAATTAAGAGATCTGTTTGAACTATAACAGAATGAAAAGCATACCTGTTGGAGGTCCTGATCGGAGGTGCTAGGACTAACAGATGTTTGAATAGCCACAGGACTGGCAGAGCACAAGAGGCGTCTAGCCTGTTAAGCAAAGATTTAAGGAGATAAGGTTGCAGTTAAAACCGTTGATATAATAGTGTGAGGGACACAGAGGCCAACTTAAGCTTATGAATTATCATTAAAAATTGTGGATAGAACCCCTGAAGAATTAGTGTTTTGAACTTACCAAGCCTCTAGTGTGGTTTTCGAGGATAGACCCCATGAGTGAAATGTTTTGAACTCCTTTACGTTCAGAGGGTTTATTAGTTAGAAAACGATTCTCTTTCGATGTGGGTAAAAGAGTTTAAAAATCACTCAGGTTCTATTTGCACAAATAAAACTAGAAGGGTAAGAAGTTCAAAAGAGAAATACTAAAGGGTAGCAATTGCATTGTAATTTACACGAGTCATAGAGCATCAAGAATTAGTTGAGAGCTCTTGATGAAAGAGGACAAAAAAGAATAACAAAACCACGAATATGGGATCTGAAACTAAATTGGCATGCAAGTTCATAATCATCAAGACAAACTCGACAATCAGTAGGCCGTTCTAGACAGCAACTTTACTCAATTCACCTCTCATTTAAAGATAATAGTTAAATAGAGTCCCAGTCAGGCAAAAAACCACTTCAATTGCATGTGATACACAGTTTAGACTTTAGTCTAAAAACAAAGAAGTACACACTCTAGAAGAGAAGTAAACCTCGTTCAACCGAAGATCACAGCCATACCGCAGTTGAGTGCTTGAGTTGAAGATATGCTCCATACCATCACCAGGGAATTCTCCTTCCTCAAAAGATGATGAAGATGTAGTAACTGGCTGCAAATGAAGCATGTATGGTACTGACATAGAGACTAAGTTTGCATTATTTTGAGAACAGTGTTGCCCTTTGAAGGAATGTAAAATTGTCATTGCTAATTCCTCTCTCCCGACAAGAACATAAGCAGCGGGAGGCCAGTCTGTTGGAGGACATTCTCGGCATTTGTCTAGTGCCTGTGCAAAGTCATTCACATGTCAGGTAATAAAATTATAGCTACATGGTGAAACAGGCACTTTATGTGGAGTTATTTGATGAACAGGCATTTATGTGGAGTTATTCCTAGGTATCCAAGGTCACAGGAAAAGAGAAATTTTTCAATTTTAAATTTGAACTCGAAGCATAAAAGAGTGCAGATATACGCTGAAATACAACATTGAGAAATTAGACGTAAACACAACCACACTGTAGAAGTATAAAGCAATAAGAAGAAAGGAGAAACTCACATGACGTAGAGGAAGAGAAACACCAATAGGCAGTAAGTCCAGATGCTTGCGTCCAAATTCTTCAGCAACCATAGCCAATATAGTTAGTTCCTCTGGTGTGCTGGCCGATCCCTTAGCAATATCACAATATACCCCAGAAGAGAGCTTTTTGCCAATCCTTTCAGCTCCTAACAGAAGACTATAGAAAGCAACTACTTTTCGAGCCCAGCTTATGATCTGACATTTGCTTTTACATACTAGAAAAGGTATGTCTCTTAAATCAGCAGAATTATAACCCAGACGCAGACATTTTTCAAGCCACTGAAAAAGGCAAGGTGGAGTTCTTGGCGCAGCAACAGAACAAAATGAATGAACTTCACTTTTGATACAAGGGAAGTCACGAATATAATGGTCAACATAGTTCATCTCGCCCAAAGCAGTAGCAATATTACATAACAAAACAGAAAGGTTTTCTAGATCTCTGTAGAGACAAGCAAACATAAGAACTTAGCAAATAGGTGAATGAAACAACCAATATGTCACAGAAGAAGCTGATAATTTAGGATAACTAATTAAAAGAAAACATACTACAACTAAAAGTTTTACTCAAAGATCAAACACTCCAAAAGGTAAAAATAAAAAGGGTGAATTAGATTCTTTAATTTACAAGATATGACTGGACTACTGTATTCTCAGATTCTTCAATTATATGACAAAAGGCAGCATCAGAAAATGGACAACAAGAAATGGTTCCAGAACAACTAGATGCACAACATGAAAATATGATGTAAACAATTGCAAACCAGAACCCAATAATAGTGGTGCTAATTTCATTTGCACCTCCATGAATTAGTACCAAACAAGAGAATTCACTGGTCTGACTAATTAGAGATCCACATACACATAAATATGTGGATAGCGGATACGAGTTGCCACCTCACTTAGAAAATGATCTACCAAAATAAAGAGGTAGTGAAGCGACCAGCTCTGATGTGTCTAGCTGGGTGAGTATCATGACTAGTCTATTTCTTGGTAGCTCATTTTTATACATGCAAATGTATACAACAAACGCACACACATATAGAGTGAGAGAGAGACTTGAGTGAGGTAGTCTGGGTTACTACTAATAGTATACAATATGCAAATGCTAAATCCAAATCTAAATTTTTGATTCCTTGAAAATATATACCGTTGGATGTAATATAATACATACAAACTGCTAGAAACAAAATTTATGTTTTCAATGTCTTTAATCATGAAACTAAGGACAAAAAATATTAAACAATTTTACAAAAATTCCGAAATATCAACTTTGACAACATGTGATGCATTGGTTAAGTACTTTAAATTTTTATTTGTACATAGTTATGTATAGTAGATCATACATAACGGTCGACTTTCAAGTTTAAAATCCAAAATCTAAATTTGGATTGACTGCATCAAAAATTTGGATACTACTAATAGTAGCATAACTCATACATACATACATACATATGGAAATGATGGTTATGGGATGACGGCTCATTTAGCAAAATGAGCTATCAAGAGATAGAATAGTGAGGTCCACACCTTTTGATGTAACTAGCAAGGTGGGCCTCACCACTTCATGCCTAATATATACAGAGGGTAGGGTTACAATACACAGGATATAACTAAGTTAATTACACACGCCTATAAAAATACAACTTTATCCATCTATATAGTAAATCCAAACTATTCATTTAGAAAAATAAGCTGCCACTTCATACTTAATATATAGAAGGTAGGGTAACAATACATGAGGTATAACTAAATTAGTTATGCACGCCTATAAGAATACACCTTTATCCATCTATATAGTACATTCAAACTGTTCATTGACATCAACAGGTCATCAAATTAATATATGTGGATCAAAAATCAGATGGCTTAGAATTTTCTATCCTATACTTCAAGCAACTAAAAATAAATGATATCTTAGACCATTACTGCATAAACTAGAAATATTTAGCCTATGTGATTTTTTATCTTCATGGACTTTTGAATGTATAGATCATAATGAACGGTATGGATCGTTAATATTCATGGTCAAACATGTATTTTCACAGGTGTGTTTAACTAACTTAGTTACACCCTATTTGTATTGTAATCCTACCCATAGACACACAGGATATATATATAGAGGTAAACTTATGTCAACTTAAGTGGACAAGAGGACTTTGTCCACCAAACTTTCTATCCACTCATATATATATATATATATATATATATATATATATGTATATATATATATATATATACTATATATATATATATATTATATATATATATATATAAAGTCTCTTCATATCGTGCATGGATCCCTTAGGAATCATCAATGGATAGGAAACTTTGCTGTGGATGGTCCATTTAAGTTTGACATAAAAATTTCTCTCTCTCTCTCTCTCTCTCTCTCTCTCTATATATTTATATAATATATATTATATATATATATATATATATATATATAGAAAGCAGAGAGAGAGAGTAAAGCTCCTATAATTCAAGTAGATAGGAGCTTGTTATCCACCAACTTTTTCTCCATTGTACTTTGAGATTGTGCTAGCATGTGTATAAAAATCAATATACACATCTCAAAGATACTCTTCATGTCTACAAAGCAAAATCAAAGGCGCTAAAAATTTGTTGGATGGATATATATATATATATTATATATATATATATATATATATATATATATATATATATATATAATATATATATATATACACATATCATACCCAATATTTCCTGTATATACACACACATATAGGGTTTGATAGTTATGAGGTGGTAGCTCATTTAGGGGCTGTTGCGAGTGCAGTTGCATGCAATTGGGTCACAGATAGACATGGATCAGGCCCACCCCACTAGTCACGTCGGATGGATGGACCTCACCACCATTTATCTCTTGGTAGCTCATATACCAAGAGATAATAACTACTCCATTTAATTTCAGTGACTAGTTTGTTTTCTTTTAATTAACAAATACACAAACAAGTAACAAAAAATCTGAATGGGTCAATAATGGAACACAATCCACAGGAGGAAGCATGAAATAATGGACTAGAATCTACAACTAGCTGTCAAAGAGAAATTCAAAGAACCTAGTAATCAGTTGACGAATAGGAAAACTGACTTTGTTAACTATGTAGGTTCACGCAAAAAAGCTTGCTCCAAGATCAATGAAGAACCTAGGAGGAGGTACAGAGGGGAATTATACTATTTTTTATAGATGTAGAATTGCATTCAACTGTGAATCATGGCATAACCAAAAGCATCCTTCAGAAAATAAATACACAAAAGGAAAATTGCATTGCATAAAGATACAAAGTTGTCGGCGAATGCACTGCAAAGGAATTTTACAGGAAGAGTGATAAACAGAGGGAAACAAATCACTATTTACCGTTTGCGCAGGTTATCAAGCTTTAAGCTTTCATAGACAGCATGCAAAGATTCCAAAGATTCCCTAAGGAGCTGACCATAAAATGACACATCACTGTTTTGTTCATTCGCTAAGTAGGAGCCAGAACAATTGTATCCTGGAGAAGATATACCACTTGGAAGAGAAACAGCAACAAATGAAGTATGTTTGCAGTAATCAATGTTAAACTTGCTATTTGTCAAAAAATTCCAAGCAGTTTCAGCTGATCTTGAAGAATGATCAGGAGAAGAGGAATATCGTTTACAAATCTTCATTATTGCAGCACTAAAGGACTCCCAGTCGGAATCAACATGGGAATGAATATCAGATAAATAATCAGATTCACCATCTCCCCACAAAAGAATAGCAAAATGCTCAAAGAAAGATGAACGCAGCCCCTCAAACATTGCTGCAATGCAGTCATTTGCCAGGGAAGATGATGGATGTCTGCGAAGAGCACATCTAAATACCTGTAGAAAATGGAATGCTTAGAAAGATCAATATAAAAAAATTTAATCTACAAATGAAAAAAATATAAGATAGATAATATAAATTTATCTTCAATAATTTTATATTCTTGAATCTATCATTAGGACATAAAATATTCACCTCATCTCTAACTATTAAGAGAATGTTTGGCTTTCTATTTATACGTTTAATATTTGCTCAGAATAAGTCAATAACATTACATAAAAACAAGATAAAAGTATAATCTCCCATCCCTCAGTATATAAGCGAGTTCAGGAAAGATAAATGTCGATGACAAACCTGTGGACATCTCTTTCCTCTCAGAATGCTCAACCATTTTTCCATCATATAAACCACCCAATGTCTTGAAACAGAACTGCCAACCACATGAGAGGGCAAAAAACATGCTAAGCTTTACCTTTGCTCCTCCAATTAAATGTTGATGACTATGGATCTTGCATTTTCCTAGGGCACACCTCAAGGGTTAAACATATGCTATGCTACAACTCAACCCACCCTCTGTCCTGCTTCACCTACAATCCTCTGCACCCGCTTTTGAAAATGTTGATTAAATTATAGAGATGTATACCAATTTTAGAGTCACACGACTACTGCCTGTGACCTAAAGTTATTGAACTTTTCGGCTATTTACACTTTTCTATCATGAAGTTTACACCTTTTTAAAACTTTGATGCCCTAAAGCTTTTCGAACATTTTCACACCCTGAAGATTTCACTGGCAGAATTTTTTTTTTTTCTGTTTCAAGTGTAACACATGCGTAACAGATAATGCATTTAGGACATAACATCCTACGGACAAAAAATGCAATACTCTATACCCCATAAAGTTTACATCATATTTGTCAGGACTTTGGTAGAAATAGATTTCGTCTTCATAGAACGAGGAAGAAATGAGGTGGAGGTTATTTATTTTTCATCATGAGGATATTATTGTCCAAGTGAAAGTTAATTTTCCAATGAAGCGAGATCTCTACTATCTTAATGTTTCTTATCTATTATTATACTTTAAGTCATTCATAAATCTCTGAAATAATCTTAGTCTATTGCCCACTTTGATTAGTTTGTTCCACAAAAATTTAGACCTCCAGTACACCTGCAGCCTTTACAATTGAATTTCTCCTCAAATTTCTCATAAACCCTCAAAGCGGATGGTATTACATCAGGAAGGTAATGAGAAACACTTCACATAAAGGGTTCAATCACTAAAGAAATTAATAAATTTATATATAGTAACGCATGTTACTATCCTTATAGTGGCAATTTAGCAAGAAAAAATTGTCACCAACTGATGGTTCAGTGGTTAAACAAATACTTGCAGTTTTAGTTTAGGATAACAAACCACATAACAAAATTTGAAGCCGAAAAGAAAACTAATAAGAAAACACTATGTTCAAACAAAGCTAACAAATAAATACGACTTGCGAACAAAAAGTAAAACACTAAAGGTTAAAGCCACAATCAGCATGATGCAAAATGGAATAACATAATACCTGGCCATTATTGGCAACCACATTTATTTTCCCTTCACCAGCATTGTCTACCCCTCTAATCTTCAAGCCATAGCAGGTATCTGATATTTCTTGACTGTGATCATTATGTGAAATAAGGCTCTTCCCCAAACTAATTGGTAATTTGCATAGACGTTGTCTTCCAGACTGCAATTTTCAAAAATAAAAACATTATTTAAATAATAGAACAAAGTATGCCTCGCCAAGTAAATTGATCGAAACCACAAATAGAAAAATAACTTCAGAAAATGAATCACCCTTCACCAACGCCTTCCCCATAAGTTATTGTAAGTGGAACCCACAAGATGATGCAAAAATTATCAAAAAAAACTCATAACCCTATTCTTTACCATAAACTGAATGCATTTATATCTCATTGGCTCCCCATATGCATCGCACACTTAGAACTAGCAACATTTTTAACTAAAAAGTTCATCATTAGGATATGTATAAACATCAACCAGCCTTCTCGACATGAGATCATCAACCGAGTTGTCTGTCAATAATTCATATTTCTAACCCACTAGTCACTACTATCCTCCTCACAAATTTCACCTCCGTCGTCAATTATTTTCTTGAAGGATACCACAGAGAACTAAGAAAATATCTAAGTTATTGGTGATGTCATAGAAGAGATTGATCTACATGACTAATTCAGGATCATATCCAAATTCTATGTAAAAACTGTAAAACATTAAAGTCAAGGGAGCAATAAGTTGAAACAAAATATATCCTCAGGGAAGAAAGAAATTAGGAAACAAGAGGAAAATTATGTACTTATGTAGGATACAAAAGAACAAAACTTCTATTCTTCATTTGTTTCTCACTTATATGATTCCATTGAATATGGGTCTGAAGATGCAAAAAGATGAAGAATATACAATTTCCAGACAAGAAAAGTAGAAAATCTCAATCAAAGATATATCGCTAATAGCAATCAAAGGAAAATTTCCCGTACTTCAAGAAAAAGGTTTCAAAAGAATATTTATAAAAGAATATATTAAAAAAGGAACCTTAAAACAATACCTATCAATGAAATATATATATATATATAAAGCATAGAATGAAACTTACATAGAGGAGAAAATTCTGATCAGAACCCAAGACAATAATGTCAGTCAAAGGTAGAAGTCCAACTTTAACTCTGTAATGATACTTGCACACTGTTGATGCAGTTATAGAAAGATTGTGCAAAATAAATAATCAAATAAATGTACTATTAGTACCTTGGACGTGTAACAACGACTGGAGCAGCATCAATTGCAGAAATACTCCAACTCATATGAGGTCTAATATCAATAGGAACGCCATCATTTCCCTCGTCAACTTGAAGTCTGATAGCTAGAAGTACTTTTTGTTCTTGCAGTAGAAAACAAATGACTGGGACCCCATCATTATCAATTGAAAGGAACACCTAATAAAGCATTTGCAACTAGATTGTTACTTAAAAAGCCAGATGACATTCAATAAGAAGGAATATTAGCCTTTTAGAGAATGGATCTAACATCTTCAAAAAAAACCATATGTTCACTGGGTCATAAGAAGTACGTGAAAAGCGAGAGATACTAAATTAGCCATTAGCAATCCACCTATGTCCATTAAGCTGTAAGTTTCTAAAGTAATGTCATCACAGTCAAAATGTGGACATNATGCAATGATCAAACTATTCCAATGGATGATATGTTCAATTCATCATGATCTAAATGTCTCAAAACATCTATAAAACGAAAATCATGATGTTTTAATACTTATAACACATTTTTCATTGTCTTTTTAGTTGTGTTGTCGTAAAGCCATTAATTTTACGATCTCTTGATGCATAATCTGTGCCTAATTTTTTGTTTGTATACCATTCAAAACATATAGATCAAAATGAATGGAGTGGATCAAATAAATTGATTTCTTATAACGTAGTTTTGAAGGTGCATTCTTAGATTGAATCTAAGATGACACCTTAGGAGCATTTTTCCCATATACGCGCGCACACACATAGATATAACATTTGTATGTTTCTTTTACTATCTATAACAATTAAGAATCAAGTTAAGTCAAACTAGGAATTAAGGTTTAACAACAAAAAATTAATTTTGATCGCATGGGATACAATGAGTATTTTTTCAAATCTTCAAGTAATTAGTTTTTCTTTTTGGGTTCAAAAACCTGTTGATTCTAAGCTTGATATACCAAAGAAACTAATGAGGATTATAAGTAATAGGTTTCGTGTAAATGAGAGAACATTGATCTTATGTAATTATAAATTTGATTTCACACACACATACACACACACATATATATATATATATGAGAAAACGAGAGGTGAGCTGGCAGCGTAGGAAAATTCCTACACTGTTGCCACGTGTCAACTTTTAATTCGTTTGTCACACATTTGCAATAAATACTAAAATAACAATTAATATTTGGTTTTAATTTGAAATTTAAATAGAACAAGGACTTGGATGAAAAAAAATCCAACCCATTCCTTCCCCAAAAACGCCGCTGATTTCTCATCTTCCCCAAACAACCATGCTCTCTTGCCATCAAGGGTTCCTCTCGGTAACGAACTCCTCGGCAGATCCTTTAGTTGCTTTTAAGCTCCTGGTTGGTGTTTTCCTGAACAAAAAAGGCCTGCAAAGACAGAAATTCATAAGCCAGCTCATAAAAGAAGAAAGAAGAGACTACAAGGTTCTCCAAGAAAATAAATCGAGAAAGAAAGAAGGGGAAAACATGTGCAACCGAATCCTCAAACTCAGTAGGCTCAACGTCCTTGTCCTTGTGTATTTTCATCCTTGCCGTCAACATTTTTTTTATACCAAAGCTCACCAATAGTAAATTGGTTGATAGAGAAAAGCAAATGACAAAAATAATTTCTGTAAAATAATGCTCGAACAGATGTGGATGTGTAATAAAATGTGATGCTTAGCACGATCTCTTATCATCTTGGTATCTTAAAATGCATTAAAATGTTATTATATTTTCTCTTAATTTCATGAACATAAATAGTCATTCTAATTGAATGCTTCTAGTTTCTGACAGCAAAAGCTCACTAAGTACAATAACATATTATCAGCTTAAATAATTTACGGGAACAAAAGAGGAGTTCGAACGTCGCTGAGAAGAACCCTAGACCAGAGAACCCTAGATGGCAAGAGAGCGTGGTTGTTTGGGGAAGATGAGAAATCAGCGGCGTTTTTTGGGAAAGAATGGGTTGGATTTTTTGCATCTAAGTCATTGTTCTATTTAAATTTCAAATTAAAACCGAATATTAATTGTTATTTTAGTATTTATTGCAAATGTGTGACAAATGAATTAAAAGTTGACACGTGGCAGTAGTGTAGGAATTTTCCTATGCTGCCAGCTCACCTCCCGTTCTCTCTCTCTCTCTCTCTCTCTATATATATATATATATATATATATATATATATATATAGAGAGAGAGAGAGAGATATGGGTATGCTTGGTACTAAGCATAAATTTTGTACTTATTAGTGAGGTGGCACAATCCCCTCTACTCATTCAAATGGGGGACCACATTTACATGAGTTGAGGAGTGCATGGGGATATGTAACCATTTGAATGGGTGGATGAGATTATGCCACCTCACTACCAAGCATAATTTTTTGTGTTTGGTACCAAGCATACTCATTTTTCTCAAAAAAAAAATATATATATATATCAAGGTTGTTGATAGCGGATCGCGGCGCGTCGCGGCGAGGTACCGCTAAGGCTATATCGGGCTATTGCGGCGAAATCACGGCAAATAGCGCACGGTCAAATAGCGGTCAAATTTAAATATATTTAAATATCCTAAATAATAAGAAAATTTATAAAAAATCTAAAAATTCAATTAGTTGTAAATTTCTTGTATTATCAATAAATAACAATTAATAAGCTTGTTGTATGAATGAAACTATGAAGAAATTCAAAAAATATAGCATCATAATATGTGTGATAGCGGGTTTAGCGGGTTTAGCCGCTTTTAACAACAAAAATCCGCTTTTAACTGCGAAAATCCGCTTTTAACCGCGAAAACCCGCTTTTAACCCGCTAAAATCCGCTTTTACGCGCTATTCGAATGAATAGCGAATTTTCCCGCTTAAGCCAGCCGCGAAACCCCTACGCGTAGCGCTGAAGGGCCGCGACCACTATTCGCGCCGCTATAACCCCGCTATTGGCCGCTATTTACAACACTGGTTGACATAAATATCCTAAATTATATTTTTCGTAAAGTTTTATTTCTTATTTCGAGAGAGAGTAACCTTAATCCTCCTCTATAGTGGATTTGTTAAACCCTCTAAATAAGAGGTTAACTAACTTTAACCCTTGTAAAGGGTTTGTTAACCCTTTGACCAACTTACTTCGTTTAGACGGTTAAGGAGGGATCAAATCCCCTTAACCCTTCTCTTAACCCCTTGTCAAAAGGGACCTGAATGTTTTTCCAAGTTACAAACCTTCTCTCCATGTCTTGGACGACTTTTATATTTTTCTGAAGGTTTCTTTCAAGTGTTACTAATAATTACTGGTCCAGTTTAGGTCATCATCATTGTCTAATTCCCCACTCCCCCACCCCAACATTCCCCACCCTACCACCAGCCCCACCACACCCAAAAGAAAAAACAACAGCCCAACAATGAGCATACAAGATGGACACAGCAAAGAGCAGAATACATGACATCAATATATAGGAACTTAATCAAATTTATATAGATAACCAGTAATAGAACTTGGATCAACCCCGTGAGTTTGTCACCCAGTAAACAAATAGAGAAAAGAGGGGTAATTATAAATTCTAGCAGATAATTCAATGTTAGATAATGAACCTTATTCAATATAAATCACACAATCAAAGAACAATCCAGTGCATGTAACATGTTTTATCCATTGTCTGTATCAGTTCTCTTCCTTCACATATCAACATATACATGCTGCTTTAAATATCTCCAATATAGCCAATATATCAGCCGATGTATCTTCTTATAAGACTTGTTGCAAAATGATATGGTCCAAATATCCTTTACCCTTTTTTGGCAATTTTTGGGTGATATATTCCGGACATGCCCAACATATCAACCGATATGTTAACCAATATGTCATTTTATATGGCTTGTCGCAGAACAATATACCGCTTTTGAAAATATTTCGGCAATATATCATTATTTTCCCAATATACCAGGTGACATTTCTGTCTCAAACAAATCGGCCAAATGATACAATGTCGATTTGGACTTTTATTTGTTTCAAAAAAATTGTTTTGATTTATGGTTCAATTGACTATGCTTAGATTTCATTAAATATGTTAGACATTACATTTTACTATTTTAGGACATTGTATCATATATGCACATAAACCAATATGGCACTTCGATATTTACTACATATCCTTGATACTTCCCGATATCTGCAATTCGGTATGGATTTTGACCATCCGATATTTCCGCAATATCCAATATTTAAGACCTTGATATACGTCATCAATTTGTATGACCGGACACAACATCACCCACAAAGGGAGAAATGCAAATTGCACAATAGCTACAACTTAGACAATAATAATAAACACCATATAAACAAAGATATATGATAGAATTCTCATACTTTCGGCTAATTATAAACTGTAGCCACCTTTCATGTTGATTTAATTTCACGTACCAGAAAAATAACCTAAAAATTGATGTATGGTGACGTTAATAATAGTGTCATTATGTTCCCTATTAGGTTTCATTCGGTTTGGCTGTTGCAAAGTGCATTTTTTTATAACATTTATCAGATTTGACAAAGTACATTTGTTTAATAGCTCAGTTATGCCACCAAAAAGATTCCATCTTCCCTTCCCTTTTTAACTTCCCTACTTTCTTTGTCTCCAGTCTTAAATCTTTTACGTTTTATTTCATTCTGTAGGTCATCTTTCTTTCTTTTGTCCTAGGTTTATCTTATGCTACAACAGTTATATGAGACATGTTTTGAGACTTTTGGCTAATATAGGCATTTAAGACCAACATGCCGCCTTGATGATACCGGAAGACCTTGACTCATATGCTTCTTATTTTTGTATCGCAGATTGCCTAGTAAAATAGTGTTGAGCCCATCTGTTATTTTTAACATGCAGACTATGCATCATCCACACCATTAAAACATAAAAAAGAAAGTGAAACAAATAAATATTAACATTTACATTCAAGATAAACTGATTATTATATTGTCTAAAACCAAGAAAATAATTCATATTAGTTAA